CACACACACACACACACACACACACACACACACACACACACACACACACACACTCACATGTGTGCCTCTTCTCTCACAATCTCTACCCGCTGGATGGAACATCCGCTGTCCTAGCCGACCTTACGCAGACGAGCAGGCACGTGAGTTCACGTCCTCTATTATCCCGGCTGATCGGCACCCCAGCCAACGTCTGCATAAACCCTAATATCGACTCTCAAGCCAACGAGATTCAAAACCCTCGTATCGACTCTCACACCGACCAGATTCAAAGCCCTGACATAGACTCCCAAGCTTACATAGAAAAGAGCGGAAACCTACTTACTATATACTTTTAGGACGTAATTCCTGTCAGGTCAGGTCACGGCAGTCGCCATGGAGTTCGACCTCGACACCGAATATTGTTGTTGTCATCTAACTTCCGAGATCGCATTCGGCTCGCCCGGGTATAAGTATTGGCATTGCCCTTAGCAGCCCGAGCTTCACGAAACCGAACAACCCTACCCTGGAAAGCAAGGGGGAGCGAAAGGGAGAAAAAGAGAGGAGGGAGGGAGGGAGGGAGGAAGCACGGGAGAGAACGACCAATGGACACGGGACGGAGCGAAAATCTAATACAAGCCCGCCTCAGTCAAACGTTTGAGGAAGACGGAAAGACACAGAGAGGGAGAGAGTGTGGAGGGAAAAGGTTCATGGGAGATAGAGGGCTACCGCATAGAGAACGTGACAAAAGAAGCAGCAACGTATTGGACCTCGCCACACCACTGTCGAAACGGAAAAAAAAGTATTGAGTGCATCTTCTTCCCGGAGAGGATGGCAAGATTACCTGCATGAATCTGACAGCAATCACGTCCAGAAGCTTCGAAAAAAGGTCCTGCTGGTGTGAGCATACCCTAAGATCCGGCGTTTGTGCAGAAGGAAGAGAAGAGAGGAAGGAAGGGAACCAGCAAGAAAGAAGGGAGGGAAAGACGGAGGGACAGTGAGGAGGAGGATAGAGATGGCGGCGCACGTGAAAGAGGGCGAGAGGGAAAGAGGAGGGGAAGAGGAGGAAGCGAAAGAGAGAGTGACAGCCAAGCGCTACCTTCTTCCCCTTCGAACGCACCACACCCTGATTTTATGAATGCATACAAGCCTTCATTCGGGTCCCATACAGTCAACATGAGGGTGCGTTGTGTTCGGGGGAACACCGTAGGTAGCATAGCGGGACGAAGGAGAGAGGAAGGGAACGGAACGAGAGCGGGCAACAGGGAATGGCAACCTAAACAGAGGGCGAGATGAAGAAAGGCCGACGCCGAGGGATATAGGGCAGTAGAGAGGCGATCAGGGTAGCAAGGGACACGTGTATTACAGGAGCAGGTCCAGATGAGGAAAGCAAAGGAAATTTTATAAACACGGAGGAGTTGCACGACCTGGAACGTAAACGAAAGCAAGGAGGTAGTGGAGTGAAACTTACACTTAGAGCCGTCTCGTACAGCGCCTTCCAATCTAACTTCGGGAAAATCCTCCTCAAGAAATCAGGGTTGAATTCCGCTTCTTTCTTCTCTAGACGAACGGCCTCGATTTTCAGAGGGTAACCCTTTGTCACCCCCTTCACATTGCACGTCAGCATGTTATGCGTAAGGAGCCGCATATCGTCACGTCCTGTCAAACGACCACGTCACTGCCACGTGTCAAACTGCCACGTCAACACCTCCCGTCGCCACGTGTCAACCACGTCTCCACGTCTTTAGCCGGCACGTCAGCACGTATCAAACAGCCACGTCACCACGTTTCAAACAACCACGTCAGCAAGTCGGTGATGGCACCCTCCCCCTTCTGTGACAACACCCGCTCCTGCGCCAGCCCCCGACTGCTTGCCCACTCACTCGCCTGCCCACGACCAACGCCGTTTACAACACTGGGAATCTGGCCTGCTTTCCAAAAAGAGAATACAGTTGTCTCAACAATTCCGATTCGGCAAGGAAACATCGGACCGTTCACTATGGCTCTATTTATCGATGGCGCACCCTGTTTCGATCATCGTTCAGGTACCACGCCCCCAGCAAGGTCCCATTTGCACGGAAGAAGAGATCTTGACCATTGATAGCGAAGGTCCACGGCTGCTATCTCTTCATACGTGGGAGTGGGACCTTGCTGCGTGTTTCGGCTTGGCCGGGTCCCCTTCTGGTTCGATTCAGGTCTGGCGCTGCCGCGTGCCTCGGACCGACGGCTCGGAGGCAAGGTCAACCGCCTAAGTTGGCTCTCGCTCGTGCCGGCGATCAAATCGCACGGCTGCTGAACAACCCATTATTTTTGTCTTTTTTTTTCTTTTCTTTTCTTTTCTAAATGAATCTAAATGAACAGTAGTTTTATTAGGGCCCAGTGCCCAACCCAAAAATACAACATCCAAATCCCGCGTTATCCAAAAAATCCCCTCCCCTACAAAACAAATTCTCAAAAAAAAAAAAAAAAAAACCTAAAATCTCCACGAATAATTTTTATTTTATTTTTTATTTTTTACAAGAAAAATGATCCATTCATTGCAAACAGGAAAGTGAGGCGCTCGACGCAGGACCAAAACCACGCCTTTGCGCCGCCTGTATCCTGGGACGAGAATCGAGGACCTTCATCACATGCTATTGCATTGTGAGCTTTCTCGACTTTTTTGGGAATGGTGGAGGTAGGGATCTATCCTAGTCCATGACCTAGTTGACAAATGGACTGACGATTTTATCATCCTGGGGGCGACAACACGATGCAACCGACACAACGGGCCGCTGACCTTTTCGAAAGAGGCCCTCCGAGGGTCTGTGCTTTGGACACTTTGGACGCTCAAGAACTCGGCGGTTCACAAGGGACTCCAGCGATGATAGGAGCGAAGTTGAAATTCGTCATCAAACAGACCATCTCAACAGAATGGTCTCTTAAAGTCCAAAAAATATATATATGCATCGAGGCCATTGAAGACCTTTATCCACCACTGCGATAGATTCCCTTACCTGCTCAAAGTGCAGCTGTCCCGGGGAGCCTACCCGCAACTGGAATTTTCAGCCTTTTTCGTTGCATGAAAAAATGCTAGGTTGTTGACGCTTTCATCTCTTGTAGATATAACTCTCTATTTTGGTTTGCATTGTTCTTTTGTTTGGTTTTTGTTTTTGTTTTTAAAAACGAATGTAATGGGACGGGAGTTGACCATTTTTTGTGTCCTAATTGCCTCCCATTCTCTGAATCATGTTTTGGATATGAAAGGGACATATAGTCAGAGTATAATGTGTTACAAAGAGAAGCGATGGTCTACTTTGCAGCCGTCCCAATTGTTTTTTTTTTTTCTTTCTCTCTTTTTATTTTGGGATTTGCGACTCCCAGTGTGGGTTTGGTCGGTGATGCCTAGTCCATAATTGGGAGCCGCCTACACATATGTGAGGGACATCGGGCCCGTTTCCCAACATGTATAATAAAAGGACAAGTTTTTTTTTTTTTGGGGGGGGGGAAGTGAGGAGGTCGGGAAACCCTCCACAATACAACCCAGAGAAATTTAGGATCATTACCCAATTTAGGTGCAGGCGTTTAGGTAGGTGTCTAAAAGCATAAATGGCCAACACCTGACCGTTGCTCTGACATTCCGCGACCCTTGTAAAAAGGAACCGAACAAGCCAAAAAGGAAAGGAAATTCACCGAATGAAACACTGGACTACAATTAACAAAACCAAATAAGCAAACTAATCCACCATAAACCCCCTACCCCTCCACAGACCCCATGCAGGACAACAAGAAGGGACACTATGTCTAAGGAACCGGAGAGATGGTTAATGGAAGACAAAAAATTCGGTGTTTTTCGACGCACCACCACAAGCAATGTCATCAAAATTTTAGCAAACAAACAATGCATGCTTATAATACAAACATTAAAAAAAAAAAGGCAAAAATAAAATAAAACAAAACTCAAAAGCACTATAAAACTCTATTCGGATGAACTTTCTGAGTTTGCCAATTTGTTTTTCAAATTCGGTGTTCTTGCCAACCTTTTTCTTAGTGGTCCAAAAGCATCGAAACTTAATACAAATATACCCTAAAGCACATACATATCATACAAAAAAACAAACAAGAAAAAAAACACTAATTCGGAGGAAAATGACAGTTTTGGTGAAAATTTCGGCGAAAATGACACCAGCTATTAACCATATGTGAGGAACCGGACAAATAAAAGGAAGAAAACAACCAAATATTTCACTAAACTATTGATCAGACTACCAAGTTCACACAAACCCAAACCAGGAAGGTAAGAGGAAAGGTTTCACCAGATTGTCATCTCTTATCATATTTTATTCAATTAGTTATTTGCTACTATCCGCTATAGCGGCGGTTGGGTTCCCTCAGGGAACCCCTACCAGAGTCTGACATTCACTCCCTCCCCAAGCGAGACCTACTGCCTATCCACTGAGACATATAGTAACCGAGTAGGCAGGTTGGTACATTTACCCTTAGCCATTTGTAGTGACAGCAGGAAAAACTACATATTAACGCAAAACAAAACAACTCAACCTGTATTGGGTTCATGATCATAAAGACGCAAGGGAAAAGTAGGTTGTCTTCACAACATCAGTCTTGTTTAGGAAGTTTTTAGTCGCTCGTTTCATAACTTCATACACCTTTGTATAGCCAAGGAGACAAGATAATCTTTTGCTAACTGTCCATCGAGGCAATGGAGTTTCAAAGGCACCAAGTATCATTGAACCATGATATACGAATAGCTTTGTCATGAGACTTTGTCACTTTTATTCTCCAGACCGCTAGAATAGTTGTGCGCAACAGTATGTAGAAAGTCATGTGGATCTGTTTGTTAATCCATTTTTTGTCGTTGAAAACTTTGTTATTCCGAGCTTGCCAGATCACTGTTACACTCACCGCCCTGATTGTATGGGCCACATAGTCCCTACCTTTCGAAATACATAAACCTTCCGGGATTCCACCCAACAGTACCTACAATCTGTCCCATTGGAAAACTTTGTCTAAAATTTTGTCCCACATTCTTGTTATCCAATCCCTGATCCGGGTTGAGGCAGGACAGTCCCGCCATAGGCGGACTGTTGATTCAAAAGCCTAGTTACAGAGATTGCATCTCAGTTCCACCTTGATCCCGTGTTCCATGAGCCATACCGCCGAAGGAAAAACAGCGAGAGCAGCCAGAGCGTGGTTGCTTGTGGTTGACAGGGGAGCAGTTTGCGTTGTTCCCAACAATTCTTCGGTGCTTTACTTACTAGCTCCGACTCTTATTCTGATAGTTGACTCCATCTATTCCTTGCCACCACATCCGGATATTTGTACGACAACACCAATTTATAGTCTATCCTTTGATGGTTTTGTCCAGTGGGGCCATTGGCCCGCCATTCCCACAATTTGGGATCTAGTCTAAGTTGCGTGATTGCCTCACCTTTATCGAATAAAACGCTTGAGATATTACCTCGGTTGTCGCTTGACTCAAACACTCTGACCTGACTCGGAGTAAGTATTATGCCTATATAAGGTTGTGGATTTTCAGAGTTGGCTATCATACGTCCTTGTGTAGAGATATCCCAACATTGAAACACCCTTCTGCCATCAGGTTGAATCAATAGTAGCTTCGATAGTCGTTCCTCGGATGATTGTTTATTTATGAACCAGATACTCTACGCCCGCTGGGTCAATCAAAATTTTTCAGGCTTCTGGAATAGCATGTATGATTGTTATTTCCCTCATTTCTACTTGTTTGAGTCTACCTAGTTTTAGTCTCATGTCATGGTCAGACAGTCCAGTGCAAGATTGTCCCACCTATCACCTATATGCAGTACCCCTCGTTCAATGCACGGTCTCCTGCAGCTGGTTGGGAAGGTATCATTTGTAATTCATTCTCTATTTTCTTGTATGATAAGCGGATTCTCAAATATGGGTTGTTCGAGCACTTTTGCCTTGGTATGCGGTGGACACCAGGAATCTGGAAGGAGTTTTTTCCATGCCATGATTATAGCGTGTCAAAAATGAGATTTGATAATTTGGCGTTGATATAAGTATAAGAAAACACAACTCCAAATGTCTTCCTTTCTGATAAAATTTTATTCGTCAGCCAGAATCTGTTCGGTCAGGTGGACCCCATGTGGCACTGGGGACTCCAAGCAAGCTCTTACGATCCATTTAACAAGCGTCGCATCATTTTTTTTTATTGGGATCCAACATTCCCACGTCGCCTTCACTCCTAGGTAGACATGGCATCTACCACGCCACTTTGGAGATGAAACTACTAGTGTCAGTGTTTTCCTCAGAGTACAGTTTTCATAGGCATCGGTTGCTTTTTTTTTTATCATTGTGTACAGATGGTTCCTGAAAGCTCTGACTGTGCCTAAAAACCAGAGAAGAGCAAAAAAAGTTCCACTCAGAACCATAGCCCTTTCAAATAGAAAGAGATGAGGGACCTTGCCCCACGTGACCAGTATGTGGAGGGTTCTCTATAACAGAATGTCATCGTGCACCTCAGTACAGTTCTGAAGAACAATTTGTACTCCCATAAACCGTTCAGATGCATCATCGTTGATTCTCTTTCTACCCCATTGAACCTTTAAATCGTATTTTTTTTGGAGGAAGAAATCGGGCTTATGCTAATTGATGGCAGCCTCAAAGTAGTGGGAGTATTCGCCTAGGCAACATTTGAGGGTGGTCAGAGATGTTGGTGAATGTTTTGAGACAGCGAAGAGGTTATCGGCCAAAACTTTGACTTTATACCACGTCGAGCATGACACTGATTCGAGGATGGACTCTAATGTTCCTGAGAACTACCTCAAATTGGATGACAAAGAGCTGAGGGGGTCAATGGGCACTTCTGCCCGAGAGACCGAGTCAGAGGGAACTCTCTATAAAGT